GGCAGATGCTTCCTGTACCCAGGGGGATCCAAATCACCCTGAGAGCATCCAGAGCAACGCGCTCTCGCCGAGGCTCCACAGAAGCAGGAGCCAGGACCAACTGCCCAAACAAAAAAATCTGCACAGAAGAGTCTCCCCAAAAGGGGTATGCACGAATTGCCAGGCCTCCGTTCGGCAGACCGGGTGTGGGCCACACATGTTGTGCCACACCCCAAAAGGTCGACGCGGAAGGCCACACCCTATGCCGCCCGCACAGATCTGCACCGGCGGTGAGAACCGAGCGTGCGAAGCGGCTCTGCTCCCCCCCCACCCCCCCTCGCACAAAGGGGAGGAAGGACGGAGCGCGCGAGGAGGCGGGAGAGGAGGAGGAGGAGGAGGAGGAGGAGGAGGACTTTCCCCTGACCTTCCCCCCAGGACAACGTCCCGCGGGAGAGGAGGAGGAGGAGGAGGAAGAGGAGGAGGAGGAGGAAGAGGAGGAGGAGGAGAAGGAGGAGGAGGAGGAGGAGGAGGAGGAGGAGGAGGAGGAGGAGGAGGAGGAGGAGGAGGAGGGAAGAGGGAGGAGGGGGAGTGTGCCGTGACGTGGAACAGGCGGCTGCAGGATGCGGTGCGAGACGTGTACGCGCGCACGCGTGCACCTAAGGGGGCGTGGAGTCGCCGCTCCAAGAGAGCGCAAGGCCGGCGCGCGCCGGCGCGCCGTTCCTCGGCCCGGGGCGGAGCCTGCCAGGGATTCGCGGTGGGTGCGCAGCGGGCGCCCTGCGCCCGGGAGCTCGGGAGCCGCGCGGTGCAGTCGGGGCGTTGACCCGAGGTTGGCGTCGAGCGAGGGGGGGGAGTGAGAAGGGGAAGGCCTTCTCAGATAGGCGGCGGGACTTCTCAGAAGCCCTCGCGCCTCCTGGGATTTTTTTTCCGTCGTCGGGGGAGGCTTAGGAAACTTCTCTGGAGGCCGGGGGGCTTTCGAGCCTTCTGAGAAGGCTTTCTCCTTCTCACTTCCCCCCCTCGTTCGCCGCCGATAAGGAACCCTGAATACGGAAGGAAGCCCCTTTCTTCCATAAGTTAAGCTTCGATGTCCCATCGAAGACCCAAGGAAAACCCGAGGCAAGCTGTGAAGCAGTCAAGGATCACGGAGCCCCTCCCCAACGAAGAGGGTTCCTTCTTCAGCGCCTCGACTGCAACGTCACGTGCAGCCCTCACGCGTTTCGTGCCCACACAGTGGGGAGCTCCGACGAAGACCCCGAGGGGGAGGCATCGCGTGCGGTGCCCCAAGCAATTTCGGCGCGCCCCTCAAACCTTTTGTGGTTCCATAGGGCCGTAGGGAGCTCCAACTAAGGCCCAGTGGCACAGCTCGCATGTGTCCCGAGTCAATTTCGGCACACCCCTCGGAGCTTCACCGAAGGCCCCAAGTGGCCTCGCCAGCATGCGTCCCCAGGCTCGTTCGGGCAGACCCCTCACACATTTCTTGGCCCCACAAGAAGACCGCTTCTGAGGGACCTCGGTAGAAATACTCGACGCATTTCGGGGGGCCTCTGTGGGCTTCTTGGGGCCCCCCTTGCTGCCACCAACGGTCCCCCTGAACGAACAGGCTACGACTTGGAATGTCTGGGGGGGGCTACTGGGGCCATCTTGGGCTGTTCTGGGGCTCTCTTTGCCTCCTCCTCCTCCTCCTCCTCTTTCCTCCTCCTCATCATCATTCTTCTCCCTCCGCCCTCCGCCCTCCTCCTTCATTCCTCCTCGCTCCTCCTTCCTCCCTCCTCCGTCTTCCCTCCCTCCCTCTGTCTCAGGGCTTTGTTGGACCTTCTGGATACTCTCGTGGCAAGATCCGATGCGATCTTCAGGATCCCTTGGGCGGCCTCGGAGGCTCCGAAGACCGAAAAACCGAGCATTCCATCATCAAGCTTTCAACTGTCGTTGGCTGAACAATTTGCATGGCTTCGCGTGTCCCTTCTTTGGGACGGCCCTGGGCCTGGCGCCCCACTGGCGACTCGTCCATCGTTCACCTCGCCTGAGCGCCTACCAGGCATGTGGGACGCGTAGGCATCTGCGCACACGTCTTCGCGCTGTCTGAGTGGGTTATGTCTCACGGCATACACCGAATTTCCTGGCACTTTGCTACAACCCGCTGGATTAAAGAGTTGGGACGGCGGGGTTCGAGAGGGAGAGAGAGAGAGAGAGAGAGAGAGACGCTGTTGGCCACCCGTTAGGCCATGGGGCCCAGGACAATGTTGGATTTGATGCCGAATTGGGAGTTTCAGACGCATAACTCACCCCCTTTAATATTATAAAGGCCAAATGGGGCCGGCGTCTGAAAGTGGCATTCCGCCTAGGACTTCTTCCAAAAAAATTTCAGATCGCCTTCCAGGGCGATCTGAAATTCTCCCATGCCGTCTGAAAGTGGCGATTCTGCCTGGGACTTCCTCACAAAAAGTTTCAGATCGATGTTCATGCCGCCTGAGAGTGGTCGTTTCGCTTAAGACGTCCTCAAACAGCACTTGCAGACTGCCTTCCATGCCGCCAGAAGACAAAGATTTCGTGTGCGATGATTTCCATAACTTTGTGCTGCAGAGCTCCACGCCCTGCGGAGCCGTTCCGTCATTCGGTTCACGGGCCTGCCTTGGAGTCATCTCGGGGTTGATCGATGGTGGAGGCTCGAGGGCCAGTCGACCGGCGCAACCCGCGGGGATCGCTCTCTCGCATAGTGCCGGTCACAACTTTTTAATCCAGAGGGTGGTAGGCTGCACGTGCCCGAGCTTCCCTGGATGCCCTCAGCCCGTCAGCTTTCCCGCGCAGCCCCGCTGCTGCTTGGTGAGTGGGCCGGCCGGCCGGCGGCGCGTTCAGTAGCTAATTAGGCCGTTACCGTGTCCCGGAACGCTTCTGACTCGGCCTGCGCTTTCGCTCGCGGACGCGACCGAAAAAGTGTCCCTTCTTTGGGCCGTCCTCAGGCGTCCTGGAGACGTACGGGGCCGCTCGGGGCTCTCGCGGGCCCGTCTGGCGGCCATCCTGACCACTCTGGACCCTGTTTCTGGGCAGTTTCTTCGGGTGGTGGGCTCCCGGTGAAAGCCATATGGGCTCTTGCACCTCGAAACTCAATCCGTCTTGTGGTTCGCCTTCTGCAGATTGAAGCCTCAAGAAGCAGTCGAGGCCGCACTTCAGATCTCACCCCTTGCCCTCCACACAGAGAGAAAATGCTCAGACCTTCGAGGCCCCGAAAAGCATCCAGAAGGCATGGAAGGTCCAAGAGACGTGCTGAAGGAGCGTCCAGGGGGGGCCCGGGGATGCGGGGGGGGCCAGTGTAGGGGGGCCGCGCTCTGCAGAACCATGTAGATCGCAAGTGCGTGCGCGGAGTAGGCAGAGCGGGCGGGGAGAGAAGAGAAAGAGAAAGAGAGAGAGAGAGAGACCGCAGAGGCCGCAGCAAGACGAAATACGACATTCGCCTGAGATTCAGCACCACCAGAGAGACGTTTCGCGCAGCTGGTAGCGGCGCAAAAGACATCCAAGCGGCTTTGGGATGTCTGGCTGGGCGATGCCTTGACATTCATGTATAAAGGCGTGCAGCGGCACAATCGCAGACAGTCTTCGTGCGTGCGCGGAGTAGGTAGAGCGGGCGGGGAAGAGAGATAGAGATAGGTAGAAAGAGAGAGAGAGAGAGACCGCAGAGGCCGCAGCAAGACGAAATACGACATTCGCCTGAGATTCAGCACCACCAGAGAGACGTTTCGCGCAGCTGGTAGCGGCGCAAAAGACATCCAAGCGGCTTTGGGATGTCTGGCTGGGCGATGCCTTGACATTCATGTATAAAGGCGTGCAGCGGCACAATCGCAGACAGTCTTCGACACATTCACTTCCCAATGAATGTTCTATCCGCCACCGTGCCTCTGGGCACGGAGTGAGCGCGTCCTCAGGTCCTTTGTCTAATCCTTGGAGCCTCAGTCCTCAGCCCTGAGTTTTAAAAAAAGGCCCCGATCCCAAATTCCGAACCTCAGGGCTCCGGGAATTTCTCGGGCCCTAGGGAATCCGAAGACGGGCCACGAGGGCTCCACGAGGCCCCCAAGACTGTCCACAGTGGCCCCGGGTCGCCGAAAGATCGTTCCAAGACGCCCAAGATGGCCCCAAGATGACCCAAGAGGCCTCCAAGACGCCCCTAAGAGGCCTCCAAGAGGCCTCCCAAGAGGGCCCCAACATGTACAAATCATTGATCTTCCGAAGGTGTTTGAAGGATTTTAGAGTTCTCGCCTTTGGGGCTTTCCGACGCTCCAAGACGGCCCACGAGGACCCCAAGACGGCGCCAAAGGGACCCAAGAGAGGGAGCACGAACCGAAAATCCAAGCCTTCCGCCCAAACACCCCCAGAAGGCCCTAAGAGGCGCCCAGGAGACCCCAAGAGGCCACCAAGAGACTCCCGAGAGGCCCCAAAAAGGTCCCCAAGAGGCCCATAAGAGGCCCCAAAACGGCCCCCAAGAAGCCTCCAAACTGCCTCCGAAAGGCCCCTGGGAAGCCACCCACGAGATCCCAACGAACATCCAATAGACTTCATACCCACAGCCCAGGCACAGTGGCGTGATGGGCCGAAGGCCATTATAATCCGCCGCCCCCTGTGGTCTTGCCACAGGAGTGCCCGTCGTGCTGAAAGTCTTACGGCTTGGTGTTAGTTTTTTGTCCAAAAGAACTCCCCCTGGGGGTTCGGCCGATGTCGCCGGCCACCGGGAAGGCTGCGTTCGACCGGGTTGCAAAGGTTGTTCTTGGTCCAGATGGCTCCAAGAAGGCCCAAAAGACGGCCAAGATGGTCAGATGGCCCTCAAGCTCACGCAAGATGGTCCAAGATGGCCTCCAAGACGGCTCAAGAGAGTCCAAGACTGCTTCAAGTTCGCCCAGTAAGCTTCCTAGACGGTCCAAGACGGTCCCAGACGCCTCCAAGAGGCCTCATAGACGGCCCAAGAGACATCCAAGATGTACTCCTGGAGGGCCCGAAGAGACCAAAATCCTTAATTGTCCTGAGGTTGTTGCAGGATG